CGGGAAAACAAAACAAAACCAAACCAAACCAAAACACACACACACACACACACACACACACGCACACACACACACACACACACACACACACACACACACACACACACACACACACACACAAGGAAAAGAATGAGAAACAAAACGGGGGAAAAAAACGGAGAAAAAAAGGAAAACAAAAAACATGCCACCTGCCTGACTGAACTGCTGAAAAAGGGCAGCCCGAGTTTCAACTGCATTCCGAGTTTCAACTGCATTTGAAACTCGGCCCTGACAAAAAAACTGCTAAAACGCTGTTTGAAATGCAATTACAAACTGTAACCCTGACTGCGCCGTAGTTTGAGTCGAACCCCATCTAAAACTCAGAAATTCCCTAAGGTAAGTATGTGGAGTACAAGCATATGCATGATTGGGTCTCGCTGCACTACTCTCCGCTCTCTGAAATCGGATAAATTTTCACCACAGTCTGCACTAACTGTCCTGCTCGGAGAGTGCCCAGCCTGCAAAAGCCGCTTTCAGGCGAGACCTCCAGCAGATCCACCAAGTTGCTCCGAATTCGGAGAGAGCGCCTTGATCCTCGACGGACAAAAAGCAGATGACACCATGTTTTGAGCGCGCCTTGAGCCTCGGCGGACAAAAAACAGATGACTCCATGTTTTTTTTCTAGTGCTGTCACGGCAATTGGTAGTGCACTCATGAATCAGAGAGTGGGACCATGGAGAGTAAGGGCGTCGTTCGACACACCTCGGGGACGTGATTCCAAGGATTTCGTCTTCATTCCACCTGTCCTCGGAGCCGATTTTCGAAACAGAAATGTAAAAACACTCCGAGGACACATCCTCGGGCTCCGAGGATTTTGCAGCCAAATCGTCCTCGGCTCCAAGGGACCTCGCGAGGTCCCTCGGAGTCCAAGGATCCGCGATAATCGGGGTGTCGGCGTCGAGTCCAAAAGGGACATTGGTGGTCAGAGGTGGTCCAGTGCTGGTCCTCCGTGTAGAAGACGGACATCACGAGGCGCCAACGTCCAAAACGTCCACCAACGGCCTCGTCTTTTTACCGTTGTCGGGGATTGGCGGTTCGTCCCTGTCGGTTCGTCGGGCGGCCCCACGGCGGTGCCGTGCCGGGCATCGGACGTTTTCGGCCGGGTCGTGGAGGTGTCGTAGCATTCCCGCGGGCTGCCCAACAGTCGGAAACATGAATTTCTTTAAGCGTCCACCCCCGGCCGGAGGCTGCAGCAATTTCGTACGTCGGCGTCTTCCCTCGTGCAACGTGTGTCTCCGGTCGCCGCGATCGTGACAGCCAAGTGCGTCCCCTCTACTTCATGGCTGACCTGTGCCGCAGGCTGCCTTTGTTGCTGTTTGTCACTGTGCTGCTGCTTGCCGTTGTCGTCTTTCATATCTGCATCATCGGTCGCGTCCCTGGGAGGAAACAGAGGCAGCGAACGACGAAGGCGACCGGGAAGATGGAGAAGGTGCAGACGAAGAGGACGATGTCCGTAGGGGCCGGTGGGTCGTCACGTCAGCGTTGCAGCTCTGTGGAAGGCGGCAGGCGCCCGTACGACCTGACGCTGTACAGCCACCTGCCGTCCCACGAGATTCCATTGCCTCCGAGTGACGACGACAGCAACGAGCCCCGATCATCAACGATTCCTCTGGGCACCGGTTCGACGCAGGATTGGATGGGGAGCCAGCTGTACAGACCGCCCTCGACGCCGACGTACACTGATCTGCTGGAGGGGCGGACCCCGACTGATTATGACGGAGGGCTTGTAGATCTCAGCTTCGGTTTGAGGTCCGGGAGTGGCCAGGACGTCACACACGCCGTTCTCGTGAACCCGGGTTCTGGCAGCAACCACACAGCACCTTCGGTGGGGCCGTGTGGCCTTCCTGACACCCGAGGCAGGACCAGTCCATGTGTAGTAAGGAACGCTTGAAGAGACAGAAGGGGGAATCGCCGCCTGGGCGATTGATTTTATGTAATATGAATTCTGTGAAATATGTGTTGTTGTTTCCATGCCCTGTGTTTGCATGCTAAAGATTGCGCACGGAGTCATGTCGTCGTTGTCTTCTGGGTGGTTTTATCACATGACGCACGCGTGAATGGCCATCGCATTGTCGTCCGCATCTTCTTGTGTATGAGGCCGTTTCTTTCGATTTGACCTATCGCGGCATCGTTGTAATCGCCGTGAACTTCACAAAGAAAAGAAATAAAATGAAAGCAGGCAGTAACCCAAACATGCAGTTTCATTTTCATCTTTCAGATGCTTGTCGCCCGTGTTTCCCTTCCTCGTGCCATCGCCGGATCCTAATGATTGCACCTAACATGAAGGAAGGGGGAAAAAATGAAAACGAAAACTTTGAAGTACTACAAAGGAATGTCACACCGCAGTTGCCTGATGAGCACATCTATCGCGAGTTCATCTTTCTTTTGTTTATCGATGCATGTCAGCCGTCAATGCAACATTGAAGTTCTTCCGAATTCACAAACGCGATGCATGTCATTCGTCAATGCAACAATGAAGCTTCTCCGACAACATTTCGCAAACGCAGACAAGTCGAGACGACATGCACAACACACGTTCCATG